AAAATATATATCACTAATTTTTGGAGTCATAATAAAAGAAAGAGTGGTATTAGTATTTACGTAAGCTAGGTGAAAGAAATAATAGTTATAGTCAAATAGTAAGAAAAAACTATTGAGGGTGGTGGCAAAGGCGAATGAATGCAATGACTAATTGGCTTAACTGAATATGAAAGACTCAAAAAGGTGATCAATTTGGGTAACCTTATCAAGGCACCATTTCATGAATGCCCGACGTTATGGCCTGCACAGGCATCATTTTACAAATGAATGGATTGCTGACACAACCCAATCCAGTTGTATTGATTCTGTCCCCATGTTCTGGCATCCAGTTAACCATTCTTGATTCCCACATCCTATATAGAATTTGACTGGACTCTTCGACCTTATTCGAATCAAAGGGAAAAGGAGACGGATTGAGACATGATGTTGTAAGAACAGCCTTATCAGGCACTGGAGAAGAAGGAATCAAAAGTTTTCGCTGCTGTTTACCAAAGTTGGGATGAAGCGCACAAGAATGTGGCTCGGCTCGACGCAAAAGCCGATTGTCAATTGTATTGCGGACTCCGATAAGTTCAAGGAAGCCTACAGCCTGTCTGAGCAGCTTCGTTAGCTGTCTACAGCAAACTATTTCACTATCTGCAATGCCCGAACTAAAGGCGTTTGCATTTGTTGCGATATACTTAGTAGAAGAAAGAGGTTGTGTACTTTGATATCCCGGGGGCCAGATATGAATTTCTGGAACAATGCCGGATGCAAGAGCATTGGAATCTGAGTAGTTGATTTCAGAACATACTGAGTTTACTGGGTCTTGCAGGCTGCTCCAAAGAGCTAGTGTGCTAGGATTCTGCCGCTTAAAGCTGTCATGAAAGTCTATTCCATGAACGAAGTTAGCATCACCTGACAAGGAATCATACATACTGTTGCTATGACTGCTAGTGCTGCATCTCGAGATAAGATGTGGTGGACAGTGCTCAACGGGACCAAACATCGGCACTTCAGCTGGCCACGATGGTCGCACGAAACTTGCTTGAAGTTCAGGGCTTTTTGTTAACGCATCCTCTCGGAGAGGAGTACTCTACGGAAGTAGCAAAAGCATGAAACATTATACCGTGAAGTTTATATAAATGTTAAGAAACGGCAGAGTTAGTTACCACTATAATAAATAAATATATATTTAATAATTAAAATATTATAAAAATTATATATATATGTATATATATTAGAGAAATTATACCATTCAGCCATAGTTATACATGTTATCCTGGCCATATTTACCTGTAATAAGAAACCAGTTAACACAAGCCTACGATAAACCGGTTTAAGAGTGATGGGAAACACGAAAAAAAAGTTGCGGAGAATTTTTGTAAAGTGAGAGTAACGTAGAAACTTTAAAAGGAACTTCTGCGAGCAAGTACCCTAGGAAGGAAGTTGCTAGGTTAATATTCCACAGCTCTGACGATTTTTCTCAAGTGAAATATAAAAGCACTGCACGCTCTAAGTGGAACTTAAATAGACCGAGTCTGGTGCTGCTGCAACCTGAATGCCCAGATAAGAGCAAACTAAGGGGAAGTAGTGGCCATTTTTTCTGAGATTAACTAACGAAGCTCATCATTATACAGTTTCATATGAAATAAAAGCCAGTTTAGAAGTGATATATCAGGATATTGATAAAAACCAATTAATTTTAGTTAATGTGCTTCTTTACAGTTTCTGGTTCTCGTCTTTATGAAGAAGCAAGTTTAAATGCCAAATAAAGCCCGAGAATGTACCTAAACACATAGATGATGCGGGAAAAATTCATGAGGTAAGTAGTAGGAGAGCCTCTATTAGGTACATTCTTCAAAGCAGCCGTTTCGAAACTATATAAAAATGGCGATGGGAATATATAAAAGGCTTGGTATTCGTGCAAATTCCAAATAAGAACGCGGTCCTATGAGCGCAAGCCCAGATATCTAAGTTAATGAACATGATTCTCGTGACTATCCTAGCTCCAATGTTTTGCCTTAGGCTATTCTCGTAATTATTCCCAGGAAATTGGCATGCCAAGCTTACTCTGACTGTGAGGTTACATAATATTAAGATAAATTTTCCAAAATACTAATTAGATCAAACTTAATAAACTCGCTAATCAGTAAGCATAATTCTATTCAATGAATTATAAAGATATTTACTTTGTAAATATTTTTGCTAAGGAACCCATGAAGCTAATTCGGTAAAAATTGCATGTTAATAAAAGAAGTTTTAATGCAAAATTGATGATTGCATTTGACTCAAGAGGTACGAACTCCTTAATCCATGTATGTGAAGTAATAACTAAATAAATATGCATTTTAGAAAACCAAAATCCGTGATTAAGCATGCAAAGCTAACCCTGCAGACCTCAACAAGGTGTGAGGAAACAAATAAATCAATTTAGTTAATTTGGTGGCAAGATATACCCCTTTCATATGGTGTTATATTTGATGATAAGCTCAGTGAGTTTAAAAGTGGGTTTGGCTAATTATTCAGGTTGATTATGCTATACATTCTCAGAAGTCGTTTTCAGTCAAGCCGGAGCTCATTTTTTATTTTACTTCGATCTCAAAGACAAAAACCAGCTGAATTAGAAGTGAGGATTTGTGGTTTCAGAAGTTAGTAGAATACTCGCTAGGCCAGAATACACTAGTCTAGCCGAGTTAC